GAGGGGGGCACAAGGGAATCCTGGGGGGAGAGGGGAGCACAGGGGAGACCTGGGGAAGAGGGGGGCACAGGGGAGTCCTGGGGGAGGAGGGGGAGCACAGGGGAGTTGGAGAAGCACAAGAGAATCCTGGGGGAGGAGGAGGGCACAAGGGAATCCTGGGGGGGAGAGGGGAGCAGAGGGGAATCCTGGGGAAGGAGGGGGAGCACAGGGGAATCCTGGGGAGGATAGGGGCACATGGGAATCCTGGAGGGAGAGGGGAGATCAGGGGAGACCTGGGGAAGAGGGGGGCACAGGGGAGTCCTGGGGAAGAGGGGGAGCGAAGGACAATGCCCCTGAGGGTGGCGTTCTGGAGGACCAGGCAGGAGGAGCTCAGAGAGGCACCTGCATCTGATGCATCAGCCCTGGGTCCTCTGGGGGAAGAGGTTGGGGGTGGGAGATAATCAAAAGCTTCCTCAAGCCCGTGTGTGTATCATGTGCCAGGACAAGGCTGGGGCCCATACAGGGTCCCCACAGCGGGCTTTAAGGACACAGGCACTCTGGGAGCCAGGCCGGCTGTGCGTGGATGTGCAGCTGTCCCCCCGCCCCTCTGGCTGGTACTATCAACTGTTCAGCAACAGCTGGTAGAGTTTGTGAGCCCGTCATCACGGGAGGCCTGATTTTGCGGGGCTGAGGGGTGAGTTATCAGCGCTGAGGGGAGAAGAACAGGCACTGCCCACGGAAGGTCAGGCAGTGGCCGTGGGAGCCAGGCAGAGAGAATTCTGGGAAGGAGGAGCCACAGGAGAGAAGGGGGCCATCCATGGGGGACCCGGGGGGCCGCTGCAGGTGCTGTTCAGGACGTGCTGGTGGATCTTGCTGGGGGAGAGAGGGATGCACCCCCACCTCGTGCTCAACCCTCCAGGAGCAGGTGTGGTTCAGTCCCTGGCAGTCCCCACGCGACCCCCCAACCAGAACTCACCCTCTGCCCTTTTGCATACACGCCGTAGCCAGACACGCTGGCCCCATTGGACAACCCAGAGGTCGTCAGGGCGGGTGGCTTCCAGGAGACCTGGATGGTAGCGGGGGTGGCCCCAGCATGGACGGTGACATCTTGTGGGGGCGCCGGAGGGCCTGGGGGCACAGAAGACAGCGCTGTCAGGGCACGGCCCTCTGGCAGGTGAGTGGCCGAGAAGCTCACTGCTCTCACCTGGAAAGCGCTCTGGGTCAAGTCTCCAGGACGGGAGGCGAGAGGACACGCCACACCACCCCGGAAGGGCAGGGCAGGGCAGCAGGAGGGCAGCAGGAGGGCAGCGGCTCCTGGCGTGCACCGCAGCCCCGCGACTCACCTGGGCATCTGTCCACCCTCTGGGACCACCTACGCCCTGTTCCCAGTCTGCCAGCATAGACGTAATTACCCAGGGTCATGGGACTACCTCAGGACGCATCAAGGAGAGCCCAACCTTGGGCAGAAGAGAGAGCTCCCTCCCTCCCTCCTTTCTCCCCTCCTTGCTCCTTCCCCCTCCCTCCCTCTGCTCATGGACTTGAGAGAAGATAGGTGTGGACCACATGTTACCCATCTTCCCACCCCGTGGGAGGGAACAGAGCTGAGCAACTGTTGCGCCGTGGCCAGTCTGAACGTGCTGTGTGGCGTGAGCAGCCAGTCCAAGCCATGCCGAGGCAGTGGCCATGGCCCCGGTCACGCTGGAGGCTCCCAGGGACAGCAGGATGGCCCGTGCTGCCTGCCACCCTTTCCTCCACATCTGTACACACTTCCTCACATCCTCCTTTTGAACATAGCATTTCACTGGGAAAGGAACGTATTTCTAACTGCCAGGAGGACGTCTCCAAGGCCCACAGACTGCACGACCTCGCAGTAGCTCCCCCAAAGTTTGCCCTTCCAGGGGCGGGGAGGGGGGCTGTCCCTTGAGGATTCTCTGCATGCCACGCACTTCTCCTCACTGTGTCCTTTCCATCATGGGATCCTCACGCGGGCCTGGGGTTCTAGCATGCCCCCACTCTGCACGTGAGGAAGTTAAGGTTCAAGGTGCTGAAATCAGGTTCATGCCCACACTTCCTTGTAGACCATGTGCAAAGGCAGAGACAAGTCCACTCTTAGTAACACGCTGTGATAAATGGCTTCAAGACATCTGCACAGCCTGGCTCGGAAGTGAAATTCTACCAGGATGGTTAATTTAAAGATGACGTATTGCTGAAGAAAGGTGTGTTCAGAGTCTGACTCAAAGAGCCAGTGTCCCATCCTTCCCTATTCCCCCAGCCACTCTCCCACTCTGCCCTGATTTGGCTACGGCAGGATGCCCCGTCTTGGCCTTACAACCAAGACAGCCAGTTGTATCATGCTAAAATGCAAACAAGGCAGAGGCAGAATAGGATGGAGATAAGAAAGTGGACACTAGAGCCTCTCTGCCCAGGTTCAAGTCCCAGATCTGCCAGTTACTGACATGGGACCTTGGAAAATGGTCTTTTATTTAGTTAGTTTATCTTAAAACAGACATAATACAGTGCCTGTTGGCAGCAACGGCCAGGAACTAAAACATCATCACGATTATTACTTTACTCCTGCTCAGACAGCTGTGTTCAGTTTCCAGACTTCTGTTTCAGTAAGACATGGCCCTGTGGCCGACTCCTGGTAGAACACGGGCAGAAGCGACGGGTGCCATGCCCAGGTGAGCCCACTGAAGGCTCCCCAGGTGAACCTGCAAGGTCCTTCTCCCTCTGGTTGTCTGGGAAGGAGGTGATCCCTGGGGGCAACCTCAGGAGCCACAGAGTAGAAATGGTGAAACCAGGAGATGGACACACCTGGGTCCCCAAATCACCACCAGAAGAGAGCAGTCCATCAGGGAAATCTGCATCAGAGCCAATCACAAGCCGACTCCAGAGACATCATGGCTTAAAACATACAGTAAATCATCAATACAACCAACTCCATTAAGCTGCGAGATTAAACGGAACTGATGTGTGGATACAGTGCTCGTAACAGTGCACGGGCTCAGAGTATGTGCCACCTACATGCTCACTGCTATTGTTTCAGCTTGACTCCAAAGGCACTGGGCTCCTCACCCTCCCATAAAAGATCTTGAAATCTCCACCCTCTACGTCAGAGGATTGTGCCCCTTGTGTCTGGAGGGCACAATCCTTTTGGTCAGGGTCACTTGTTCTAATGGCCGCTGGTAGTTGGGTGGGTCTGATCAGACTTAGGGGATTTCGTGATGATGAGTCTGGTCTCTGTCTCTGAGGGGGACTGTTCTTTCCTAAGCACTCACTGCATCAACCCGAGTTCTGTCCATCTCCCTTCCCTGTGATCGGTCACTGTGGGCGGACTCGCCCCACCGAGCATGGGAAAGATCACGGAGGCCCTCAGCCACTCAGCTATATCACTGCCAGGGCTCTTGGAGACACTGTGGGGCACCACTTCCCCGTATCTCCCCAACACTGCCCTCCTGACCTGGTAGCATCATAACATGAAAGCAATCAGTGGTTCTTGTCAGAGCCAGGCCACTCTCCTTTGCTGATGAATAACACCCAGCAATGGGAAAAGGAGCCATGCCTCATGGTGGAAATCGGCACCTCAAACCACTTCATAAGGCCTCCCGTGAGTATGCCCTGTGTGATTCAACCTATGCTACAGGGTAGAGAGAAAGTGGACAGCATGTGATCTGTACCTTGAAAGGAGGGAAACACAATAGCAAACCCTACACTTAACCAAATTCCTCTTTATTCTCCCTTAGAAGTCTGCCCGGCTCACTTGTACGAGAGATGGAGTCCAAGCAGGAAGTGATGGTCTTGCTGGATTGTGGAGTTAGAAGTTGGTGTTTGGTGACGGTGGACATGGTAGAAATTGAGGAGAGTGGTCTCAGAGAGTGACAATCCAAGGCAAGAGGATCCGTAACCTCTGTGAGCCCATTCCCCTCAAACTATTCGGGACCCTTAAATCATGCCTGTGCAGAGCCGGCAGGAACACAAACAACATAAAGGAAAGTAAACAGCCAGAAATCTGTAGCATTTAGTACTGATTCTGGCAGCTGCCTAGTGTGACGAGGAAAAATTTGGAGTTCAAGTCCTTCTAGGTTAGAGAAGCTTGAGCTTGCTGTTGGAGACACAGAAGGTCCATATCACAGAAATTGGGATCATACCTCAGGGCTAAGGGCCACATTCTAAAGGCAAAAATGAATATACTCAGCAAAAGAAAGCTGAAAGAAGCATCTACAGGATTTAGATATGTCACAAGTAATATAAGTGTTAGAATAAACTTCAACACTCTGTAGAGGTGTTGTTACAGCTGTTACTGAGGAAGAGAACAGAATCCAGAGCCTCTCCAGGGCACAATCTACAATGTCCAGTACACAACGGAAATCACCGGATGTGGAAAGAAATGGGAAAATAAGGACACATAATCAAGAGCAAAAACAGTCAGTAGGAGCAGGCCCACAGATGACCCAGGTGTTGGAATTATCAAAGACTTTAAAATACTTATTAAAAGTAAGTAAAAGAATGTATAAGCAAAGATAAATGTGGTAGATGAAGAGATGGGAATCCCAAGAGTGATAAGTAAATCTTAAAAAGAACCAAGTGAACATCCTAGAATTGAAAATTACAATGATCAAAAGAAAAATTTCATTCAATGTTCTTTTTTTTCATTTAATGTTCTTTATAGCAGATTGAACACTGCAAAAGAAAGAAGAGATAAACTTGAAGACAGAATAATATAAATTATCCTGACTGAAACATGAGGAAAATGATTTTAAAAAATAAATAGGAGTTCATAAATCTGTATGACAACAGCAAGCAATCTGACTTAGCTATAATCAGATCCTCAGAAGGGAAAGATAAAGTAGAAAAAAATCTGTGGAGATATAAAGTCTGAAATTTGAAGATAAACTACCACCACTACCACCCTTAGATCCAGGAATATCAGTAAAGTTCAGAAAAGATAAGTAGAAGTAAAAGTAAGCCTAGGCACATTAGAGTCAAATTACTAACCATCAAAGACAAAGAGAAAAATCTTGAAAGGACCAGAGAATGAAGGGGACAACAGGAAAGAGAGCTGACTCCTTACACAAATAGGAAAAACCAAGAGAAAAGGAATGATATTTGTATAGTCCTGCAATTAAAAAAAGTCTAGAATTCTATATCCAGAGAAAAAAAAATATTTTTTTAAGTTTTATTTATTTAAGTAATCTCTACAGTCAACATGGGACTCAAACTCATGACCCCAAGATCAAGAGTTGTACACTCTTCCAACTGAGCCAGCCAGGTGACCCCAGAGAAAAGATATTTTTAAATAAAAGTGAAATGATGAGATTTTACTTTTTAAGATGACCAAAAGAATACTGAAAGAGAAGCTAAAGGAGGTTCTTCAGAGCTGAAAGGAAATCATACCAGCTGGATATATAGACCTACAAAAAGGGATACAAACTGGTGGAAATTGTAGATATATTAGGCAATATAAAAGGCTGTTTTTGTCAAATTCTTCAAAGGCGACTAAAGCAAAATAATAACAATATATTGAGGGGTTTACAACATATGTAGAAGTAAAATATATAAAAACAATAGTAAAAATGAAGAAACATAAATGTAATTATATCTGGTACTATTCTTTCCTTGTAAATACATTGTTATTAACGTAAGCTAGTTTTTTAAAAAGTTTAGTTATGTGAGAGACAAAGATAGTGACAGAGATAGTGAGAGTGAGCATGAGTGGGAAGGAAAGGGAGAAGCAATGTCCCTGCTGAGCAGGGAGCCCTACACAGGGCTCAATCCCAAGAGACTGGGATCATGACCTGAGCCAAAGAGCCACTGGGCCACCCAGACACCCCTGTAAGCTAAGTTTTAATAAGTTAAATATGCATGTGTTACTCCCTATAGCAATCTCTAAAACAAGAATACAAAGAGTTATAGCCAAAAAAAGTCAATAGAGGAGGAAATGGAATAGAAAAATACACTTAGTGTACCTCCCCCTCCCCAAAAAAGGCAGGGAAAGATAAAGAGAAAAACAAGACAAATGAAAAACAAAGAGCATATGGCAGACTTAAACCAAGTCATACCAGTAATCGTACTAAAAGTAAAGAAACTAAAGATTCCAATTAAAAGGCACAGATTGTCGTATTGTTATAATGCCACGACCCAACTGTAGACTATTCACAGGAGGCATACTAAAAATAAAGATACAAAGAACTTGAAAGTTTAGAAAAAGATATAACATGTAAACACTCAGCATGAAAAAGCTGGTGGTCATAAGAATATCAGACAAAGCAGACTTCAAGACTAGAAGTAATACCAGAGACAACGAGGGGCATTTCATGATGAGAAAGGGGTCAATTCAACCAGAAGAACTAACAATTTAAATGTGTACGTACCTAATAACAGGGCTTCACGATATATAAAGCGAAATGAGAAAACTAAAAAAAAAAAAAAATAGACCTATAGACAATTCTCAATAGCTGGAAAGACTGGACAGACAAAACCCAATATGGGCATGAAGATTTGAAGAATTCTATTAACAGGTCTCTCGTGCCCCATCTGGGAAGTGGCTTGCCCTTCCTGCAGCCACTGGGCACTCTACACACAAGCTTCTGGTCGTGATCTGCCTTGAATCCTGGGGGCCACAAATATCAAGCCAGCCCCAGCAGGCAGGAGGACAGTATAGCTCAGGAGAAATTACAGCCTGTCTCTCCTCACTCAAGCACCCGGTACACCTGGCACTGGGAGGGTGGGGGATGTACAGGGCAGTGCTTAGCCCAGGCTGAAGGGAAGAAGTCTGGCCACCTCCACTGGGCAGGGCTGGCCTCTGCAGGGACCACAGGATCTTGAGGCTGCCAGTTGGAAATGACATGCCTTGTTTATCTAAGCCCTTTTGAGAGTCTTTTTCAGAAGATGGTGTGTGCAGCGTTGCAAACCCTAAAGATCATCTTCAATTCTGATCTGAAATCTACCTCTGAATCCAGCTTTAAACAAACCCACATCTAGAACTGAGGTACCACAGTGGCTCCCACTGAAAACACTACATTCCCTGCCCCCTACAATTCACACGGCCAGTGTCACCCTAGAGCACACACACCACCCATCCCTCTGCTGACAGCTGTCCCTGGGACGAGCTCTGTGACCTTGTGATCCCACCTGTGATGTCCTGTTTCTAGTATCGGCTTGCTGAGGACCCACAGATCTGTCTCCCTGTGTGGGGGGTGTGGCTTCTCATAAAGGGGGGACTCTGGAATGCATGGTGCCAGCCTTCTGGCTGAGTGCATCACTCTATCCAGACCAGTTTTGAGGGCTGGCTTTGCATCCTGGAGCTGATGTAAGAGTTCAGGAGTCCCATGAACTCTTTCAGGGTCTCCCGTGTTCCTCTGATCACCTGGCTCTGGCACTTTGATCAGCCCCAACAAAGGACGCTGATTATGCTATCAGGCCTCATTAGTCTTAAGGACAATGGTCCAGAGCTGAAACCACTCCAGGATTTTCCTCAGCCCTTGCTTCTCCATAAAGTGAAATCACAGCTGAGGGACAGGGTTCTATGGGTGAAGGAAGACTTAGAACCGCTGTACCGCCAGCCCCAGCCCAGTCCCTGAGTGGGCCCAAAGATGCTGACAGCATGGGGATGGCTCTTCCGCTGTCATGTGGGGCTGCTCAGTATAAGTCATACCTGACACGAGTTCATGAGTTTTCCCCACACGGGGAGAAAACAGGCAAGAGGACTACCTGGAAAAGACAGGAGGTGGCGATCTCCCCGAACTTCCATTCACTGCCCTCACCACAGTCAGAACATTGTCCACTATGTCCCCCCACCCCAGAATTCATGCTGAAACTCTAACCCCTTGGCGATGGTGTCAGGAAGCAAAGCCTCCAGGAGGAGCTGATGTCATGACCGCGGAGCTCTCAGAGGGCCATCACAGCCCTTACAAGGGAAGCCCCACCGGTGTCCCTTGTCTCCTCTCCCCTGTGAAGACACGGGAGGAGATGCTGCCCATGAACCAGGACACGGGTCCTCTCCAGATCTGACTCTGCGGCACCCCAGTCTCAGACTTCCAGCCCCCGGGGCCGTGAGGAGCGGCTATGTGCCTTGTTTGGGGGTCAGGCAAGGGCCAGGATGTCAGGGACGGGGAGCTCACCTGTGGGACGCACCCTGGGCTCACATCTGGACCCCATCCTCTCCGTCTCACTGTGAGCTTCTCTAGAAGCCCCTCCTGGTGGCCCCAGTGCCTGTGTTCCTCACCTCCCCCGAGCCCCGCCCCCAGCCCGGTGCCTGGTGTTTCTTGTTTCTTGACCCCCGCACCCCCAGCACTGACCACATGACCGCACAGTAAGCATCAAGGCAAAGAGGTGCTTTCATTTTCCCAGTATTCCTGGTTGACGCCGTGGCCAGTCAGGAAATCAAAGCGTCACGGAAGACAAGTGCGCTGCCCCTTTACGAATCCCTTCCTACTCAGACATCCCTCCCTCCTTAAGGTAGCGTCTGCCCCACCTGCCCATGACTTTGATGCTGTGTAGGTCAGACTCTAGTTGATGGTGGGTTTTGCAAATGCTGGAGAACACAATGAAATAGAAGCAAACCCATCACGAACCAAGAAGCCCATCCCGTGTTCAATGGGAGACTTGGGGCAGCGGCGCAAGTGCTCCTGGAGAAGAAATGAATTGTTTGTAAAACCCACTGACCAGTGAGGTTGGGCGGGGCCGGTTTACTTAATCACAGAGCTAAGTCCAGCAAAGAGGATGCTGAGACAGGCGTTTCCAGGGGATCTCGTGAGTAACCCAGGACGAAGAGAGGCTCTAGAGGAAACAAATTATGCCCCCAAATATTCTTACAAAAATTACCTTCTTTGCTCTGAGAAGGCTGCCCTTCCCCCAGGTGTCTGAGTCTCCACCTGGCATAGCGAGCCTGCTCAGAAAGGGCGCCACAGCTAAGACCAGCACCACAGAAATTTCTGGAGGGCGGACTGCCCCGTGGCAGCACTGGGAACCCGGAAACGAGCAGACCTGGCAGGCTTGTGCACCTGATCCGCTCCTTACGATTTCCTACGATTTTCCGTAGCAGACACGCCCAGAACCCAGAAAAGCATCGACAACAGAATTTCACACCTTCTCCATAAATTCAGCCACATGTGTGATCTCAGATGAGAGAGAAAGAACGGTTTTGCAGGAGGGTAGGCACTTGGCTTGCTGTCCCACTCCACGAGCACACATGTGGGAGGGACCCCATGGGGCAGAAGTCCTCTCGCGCCCCCGAGGGAGGCCTCACCACCTCCTGTCTTTTCCAGGCAGGCCACTTGCCGACGCCAGTATGCGAAACAGCATCTTCAAAAACATGGTCCCTAAACAAAATCCACATAGCATCCCCCCGTCTCTCGCTCTCTCCCTCACACACACACATTGCTGTGTCTCCTTCCAGAACGGTGCTGGCTGAGTGCCGTCTTCCCTGCCTGCTCCCTCGCCCCAGCCCTCCCCTCTCCCTTGGGGTCCCCATGGGAGGATGGGCCTCACCTGCAGGCAGCGTGGAGAACTCCACAAAGGCCTCCTTCTTCTCCCGCTGCTCCAGGGGCAGCTGCCACGGCATCTGGTGGGGCTTGGCCAAGACCTTCACCTTGTAGGCCATGTTGGGCCTGAGGTTGAGGAACTGGTACTTGTACCTGGCGGCCTTGACGACGTCGAGCTCCTCCTCGTTGAGGAAGATGACGTGGCTGTAGTTGCTGTTGGTGGGCAGCCAGGAGAGCTGGGCGGAGATCTGGGTGATGTTGTCCACCCTGAGGTGGGACGGGGCCACCACCACGTCCTTGCCCACCAGCAGTGTGCACTGGAGCTCATCCGAGCTGCCCCTGCTGGTGACGCATTGCACAGAGATGCGGTAGGTACAGGCCGCCGTGTTGAGCTTCTCGATGAGGGCCTTGGTTCTGCTCCCCAGCATGAGGCTCAAGCGGGTCTCCTGGTCCACCAGCACGTTGTAGCTGCTCACGGTCCCCCAGCCCGGCGGCACAGCCGGGGGCTCCCAGGCCACAATGACACTTCGGGCGAGTTGCTTGATAAGGGTGATTTTTCTAGGGTAAGGCACGATGTCTTCTCCGATCTCATCGATGTTCACGCCCAGCGTCCCCGCACCACTGTCCGTGATGCCGGCGTCTACGTGAGTGGGGGCATGGAGATCCAGAATGTTCTCCCCCTCCAAGCCGATGCTGGCGTGGTTGATGAGATTCTGGTCCTGTTCGGTCCCCAGCGTGCTGGCCAGGCGCGACTCATTGTCCTGGACAAAATCCACAAAGTTGGAGGGCACCAGACCCCTCTGCCCGTCCAGGAGCTCACCTGTTGGCATAAGGGCAATGAGATCACCTGACCGTCCCATCAGGGCCCCCGAGGTCCCGCCCCATCATCTGTGCGGCTCCTCAGTGGGGCCATCCGGTCAAGCAAGAGGACCACAGTGGATTCCATAGGTCTTTACAGGAGTCTGCCCCAGTGTCCCCTCCTCAGGACCCTGCTCCTTGCCACCTGCTACCCCCGAGTCCATCAGGCAGGACGGCCTCCTCCTTCATGCTTATCCTGAGCTGACACCACGGTGTTGACATTGATGCAGTAAATGTCTCAGACAGACCAACAAACATGCATGGCATGAGGGCTTTGGAGGTTAAAAAAAAAAAACAACAAAAAAACATCTTCCTATTATCTTTGCCAGGGTGATCCTATGAACAGGAACTAAAAGATGACCTTCCCCCCTTGGAAAGCACCGTGTACGTTCTAATGAGGTCCCCAGCGTGCCACCTGTGGTGACAGAGAGACCACCCGCGTGATGCCAGACCACGTGTAGGTCGAGAGTCAGAAAATGTCATCTGATTAGCTCTTGTGGCAGCCGCAGGGAGAACCCGTTCTTATTTTGTGAAATGTTCTCTTTATAGCTGGGCTCAAAGCCTACTAGCAGCAGGGGCCGGAAAAACCGAGATGGGTTTGGAAGAACCTCCAAGATGACACGGCCCGGACAATCTTCTGGCACCAGCAGGACAGGGATTCCCCCCATTACCTGGCGGGAGGCTGGGGGTGCTGATGCTGGGGGCCCCCGCCTCGGGGGATGTGCGATGGACCCCGAGGATGGCATGTGACCATTTAATGGGCCCTGGATTCTCCTGGAATGAACTGGACGCCGACTCTGCTCCTGGTGCTCCCCTCTGGAGGGTGTTGGTCTGGAGATAGCCCGCCTGGCTCGCCCCCAGCACGCTCGCACAAGGGGAGGGGTGAAGACGACACTGACGGGGATAAGCAAGCCCGCCACACAGCAGGCCCTGTTCCAGCCACCCTGCACCGCAAGTCCCCTAGGCCGGCCCAGGGGTGGGCACGTATGCTCTCTATTCTACCCGGAGGGAAGCTTCCCCCTGCCACACAGACAGCGGATCCCTGAGGTCTGCGGCCCCGTGTGATCAGGCCTCCAGAAAGCCAATGTGGACACAATGCCCGGTGTGAATATTCCAGAGATTTTGAGCCGGGGTTTTCTGGTGGCCACCGTGGGCACGTTTTACACCGGTCTGAAAACCAGTGAGTGTGCTGTGAGCTCAGGCTCTGTTGTTGCCTGTCCTGGAGTTTCTGGGGTTGCCTGCCCACGGTGTAGCTGCTGTCCACCAGATCAGCAGAAGCCATGAGACCTCGGGTCCAGCAAACACTGGCGTGAAAGCATCTCTCAGCCCCGAGAAAGCTCCACGGGGCCACAACAGAGAAACGTGCTGGCTTCGCAAGAACTTGTCCTGCTCAAGGGCGACCATGGGAAGAGACCACGACCCTTCTGTTCGTACAGGCCAGCCGAGCCTGTACTCAGGCTAACAGGTGAGCGGCGACGGGGGTCGGGGAACGGCAAGGCATCCCAGAGGGAGGCTGTCACATTCCCCATCGAAAGCTGGGGGAAGGATCCAGCAGGACGTGGGCCAGACAGCAGCAGGAGCCGGAGGTCGGTGGGGTTGCCCTGAGCCCGTCGAGGCCACCACCCATCCTGCTGGGGAAGGGGTCAGCTGGGGGAGCCCAGGGCGCTGGGGCTGTGAGATGGGAGAGGCAGGAGATCCCCTTTGGGACATAGTATGGGCACCAGCCACGGGGCGAGGAGACCCTCCCGTAGAGGGCCGTAGGAGCCAGGCCCGGCTGTCAGGTCCCCTAGCAGACTAGCAAGGCGGGCGGCCCGGCCCCAGCACGCTCCCCGGCCCGCACCCCGACTAACCTTCATAGAAGCCGTCCTCATCCATGTCCCCGTAAACGTAGAGGTACTTCCCTGCCGTGAGGGGCAGCTCGGCCTCGGGGTTCTCATTGGGCCCGTCGAAGGGGTTGTAGCTGGAGAAAGGAAGGACAGCCTAGAGCAGGTGGTCTGCGTGGAGGCCGAGGCGGCACCCCCGCCCCTCCCCCCTGCACCGACACGGAAGGAGAGGGTGTGCGTGGGGGTCACCTGCCGCGTCTCTGGCAGGGACACGTGCTCAGATCCATAAGCGGAAACAACGGCTCGCCCTGCAACCCTCCTGTACGTGTCCTTTAGCAGGAAGAGAGCCGTATTCCCTCGGCTTTTGAGTAATCTGCTTGTTTTTCACAGTTTCCAGAAGGGCGTGACCCTCCCTCGCCTCAGGAAACACTCCCTTGCGTCCTTGTTCATGGGTGAGGACTATTCCACTGAACAGACCAACCCGTTCCCTTAACCAGTGTCCCAACGCTGGGGATCGATGTTGCTTCTAACCTTGGGTTAACGGGATCACCGTTGCGGTGATATCCTCCTAAGCACTGCTTGGCACACTGCCACACGTTCTTCCCAAAGGTAAGTCCCAAGGAAGCAAATCGGTTTGCTCAAAGGCTCGGATATTTTTAACATCCGGGTGACTACAGCCAGAAAGTCCTGCACAAACGTGGAGGCACCATGTGCCCTCCCCCCCCCCGCCAGGGTATGAAGGTGTCCTCGCTCTCAAGTCCCCAGAATACTGGGACGAATATATTTTATGGTCATGCCCAATTTGCTAAGAACATCCATGGTAGGTGAGTTTCGGATTTTCTGACTTTGGTTCTCTAAAATTTTAAATAACAGGAAAGGCCCCGATAAGAAAAGTAAAATGGCATTCCCGGTAGTCGATGATGACAGCCACGTCCTGTAGACGTATAAACATGACACCGTGATGGTTCACAGGCCAGCAGCCCTGGGAGGTTCACCGACACTGTCAGAGACGCATCTGAAGTGCTCGGCGAGGAAAGCAGAGTTATCACAGGGCGAGGCACGGTGCCCGCCCAAAGTCGCCAGCTCCCTAAGTGGGGGGTGGTGTGGAACCAGAGTCCGGGTCCCCCAGTCCCCGTCCTATGTAGATTTCATGGCACTGAGTCAGTCTGTGGTTCCCTATCTATGTCCCAGGGCCCAGGAATGCTGTGCAACCACCTGAGGGGTTTCAGAAGTCAGTAATGGCCCGGGGCCCTCTGCACCAGGAGCAAACCCAGACATGTGCTTACCATGAAAGCCCAGGGGTGGAGGAAGTGGGGAAACAGTTTGGCAAGGGGACCAAAGGCCCTGGGGCAGGGAGCTGAGAGCCAGCCTGGTGGGAGGTGAATGCAGGAGTGTCGAGGGACGAGGATTGCCAGGGTCCCCTTCGTTCGCTGTGGATTTAGTCTCCAGAGCAGGGAGGTTTCAGGAGTGTGAAGGTAGGGTGTGACTTGAGCAGGTCTGCAATTTGCGGAGACCCTCAGGGTGCCCTGTGCATCGGGGCTGGCGGAGGAGGGGGAGGAGGGGGGTAAAGGGAGGTGGGGGGGCGGTGAGGATGCTGGATCAGCGAGCGGCACAGGAGGGGAGGAAACTGGGCTTTGCCTGGACACACAGAGTGAGGGGCTGGGGGCTGAAGGCTTTGCAGGTCAGGATGAGTGGAGAGGGACACGCGCACGGAGTCGGGTCCACAGGCAGGGGCTAGCATGGGGAGAAGGGAGGGCCAGGGTCAGTTTGGGGTGTCTTGCTGAAGTCATGAGGGTAAAGCACCCTGTGCACCCTCATCTGCAGACAGAAAGAGGGAAGGCCCAGTGCTGCCATGGCATCCACGCGCAAGGGACCGTCTACAACATGAGATCTGTGGATGCAGAGAGCCCGGGGGCTTCCAGGGCAGGCAGTGGGGGTGGCCCAGCCACAGGGCGAGGCACTAGTGACAGTGAGCCAGCATCCGGGACACGGTACATTTTACACGGTGACTCGTGTCCCATGTGAGCGACTTCCATCTGAACAGAGGGCTGGGGGCTCTGGGCGGGGGCCGAGGAGCAGGCAGGAGCTGTGGGGACATGCGCGCGGCCATCGATGTGAGGTGAGGGCACCAGCCGCCATGGGAAGTGGCATTGAGATCGGGGCTTCTGCTGTTTGGGGTGAAGTTTGGGGAAACCTCTTTCCAGGGGCCTGCCTGAACAATGTTGGTGTTCAGGCCCCGGGAACCCCCCCAAACTTCTGCCTTTCCCTTCAGTAGAGGGAGCGTGAGCCCAGGGCACACGGCTAGGGAGGCAGGGGTACGTGGTTTGGGAAGCTGCAAGCCACTTCGGTTCAGCTTAGCATCCCGGCTGGGGGTGCCCCCACCTTCTCTGTGATGCAGGGCAGGCCCTGCCATCCTGGGGCCCTGTGGCTCCTCCCAGTGCTGGGGTTAGGGTCCCTGCAGACAGTGTGCGGGATGTGTGGGGCGCAGCCAGCATTCAGAGCGGGGTGCCAAACAATTCCATTCCTAGGTATGGACCAACAGGCTTCCTAACGGAGAAGCTGTGGCCCGGGGAGCTACACCAAATGTCTCTGTTATCTGAGCAGCAGAAGTGTGTTTTCATGGGCAAAATGAACGGATCCCTAATCAGAAAATAATCTGCTCATCAGCATAATGGCTGTCAGAAATGGCTCTCGCTGGAGAAAACCAAAGAGTGTGGAAGGTGCTCGGCATGGCTAAAACCCAGGTCGGTCCCGCCTGCCAGAAGCTGGAGGCTCTGCTGGGGGTGGTGTCTGCCGGCTGCAGGCAGACTCGAGGTGTCGAGGACGAGAGCCCGGGTCTTGGCCGAGCGTGAAGAACAGCAGAGACGAATGTTTCGTCTGCTTGTTAGCGTCTGATTCCTAAGTGTCGGCACCAACAGCAGAATCTGGAGTCCAGCGTGCTTTCGGTGGAAGCAGGTCGAGAGCTGGTGGGGACCCGGAGGCTCTGCGCCCATCCTTGAGTCGTGCAGACCCCGTGGCGCGTGCGTTCTCGCTGACCGTGGACACTGCAGGCCCCCCATGAGAGACGAGCTAGGGAACCACGGCCCGCACGGAAGCGGGGGCCGAGGAGGCCAGGGACCCGTGGCTCCGCACAGGAGCATCCCCCGAGTTTCAGCCTGCCGCCTGCCGGGGCTAAACTGTGCCCCCAAAACCTGTGCTCACGTCCCAGCCCCCAGGTCCGGGATCTTGGCAGATGAAGATGGGGTCACACTGGAGTCAGGTGGGCCCCGATCCGGTGACCAGCGTCCTTACCGAGAAGGAGAGGAAGCAGGGACACACAGGGCGCCAGCCACGCGAAGACAGGCAGAGCCTGCATGAGGCACACGTCACCAAGGGACGCCCAGGGCCACCGGAAGCCGCGTGAGTGCCCAGTGAGCACGGCCTCGCAAGCACCCTGATCTCGCACTTCCTGTCTCCAGGCCCCAGAGAGAACGCACCCTCTATGGGCTCCCTTGTAGCTGCCGAGGTCCAGGGAAACACTCTTCACGTCAGAATGGACAACGGACCTTCCTTGTCCGCCCACGCCGGGCTGGTGGAGTGGGTGCCTGCGGGCGAGGGCCCCGGGGGAGCGCTCCCGGACCCACGGCCTCCTCGGCCCCCGACCCCCGCGCCCACGGACACTCAGGGGCAGAGCGGAGTTTTGCACTTACCTGTAGCGGGCGACGCACAAATGGACCTTCCCCGAGTATCTCTGCTTGGAGGTGCTGGAATTCCGGGCGTCATCCATCTGTCAGAGACGCAGTCAGCGTTCTGGTTAACGCTTCGTGCCAGGGGAACACGGGGATCCCCTCTGGCCCCGCCAGGCTTCCTGCCCCAGACAGCAGCCCTCCTGTGAGACGCCAGCCCCGAGATGAGGCGGCTCCCTCAGCGTGGGCCCCCCAGTCAAACGGGGGGATGTTTATAAAAACGCATCTCCCCAACCCACGAGTGGACCTGAGGTGGGCCCTTCCCTGACCCACGCGTGGAACTCGCCGGGCGGACCGGGCAAGTGTGCTGGGCCCTGGCGCATGTCTGTGAAGACACAGAGATGGGCAGCGACCATGTTGTCTGCTCACGGGGGCTCAGCCCCAGGACAGAGATGGACACTGCCCATAGCACTCAACTGTCAGAGGGTGCTTGGGACATGCTGAGACATGTAGGAAGACTGCCTGGAGGAGGTGACATGAGGGTGGGTAAAGACTGGATATGGGAAGTTGTGGGAGGGTGGAGGAGGAGGAGGGAAGAGGAGGAAAGGCGGGAGGACCTTCATGTTCCCACCAGCTGCACGCACGCCGGCCAGAACTCACATCTGATTCAAATCTGCATCTTGGGCTGGCGGATCGCGACAGAAAGGCAGGCTTGACGGACAGAGGCTCTGGCTTGTCACCAAGGAGGAGGGGCCGGATGTAGTCCCCGATCACCGTGTGGCTTCCGATGGCGCTCTCCTGACCTGCCCACAACACGAGGCAGTGTGAACAAGCACACGGTCCTTGCGTTCCCCGGCATGCCTGTCCCCTCATTGCCATCAGCCTTGGGGTTTCGTGTTGGGATCTGCCCCCTCCTGCCCTCGATGCCCATGACCAGCCTGACCCCTGCCATGCTGGGCCATCCCCGGAGGAGGCCACTCCCACCCCTGAGGATGGTTTGGTGGCAATGGTGGTGTTGCATGCGACGAGAAGGTCCCATCACAGGGAAGTAAAGGGAGGCATGGAGGAGGCGGCTCTCCCTTTCCCTGGCTACCATGTGGGAGGCTGTGATGCAGCTACGTTGCCACCAGGAGGAGAGTTGGGGCCCATCAGAGCGCTCATAGAGGGGGAGCCACCAGATGGGGGGACTGCCTCCTGGGCACGCGGTTGGAGTCCCCAAGTCCAGCTGCTCTGGGAGCTGAACCTACCAGCTCCTCATCCTGTCAATAAGTAAGTTCCTTTTGGCTTGCACTGGTTTAGGTCAGCTTTGTGGTTATTTACAACAAAAAGAGTCCTAACACACAAGCTGGCCAAAGGGCCAGGCATTTTTAGGGTTCCAACATGAAACACAGGAGCACAATCCCCACCCTGACCTCTCTGTCCACCCTCTGTCTGTGGCAGTCACACCGCAGGATCGCCTCCCTGAAGACGTGACCTGCTGCATCATGGCTGGGAAACACCCTGTGATTCAGTGTAAGGTGGGAAGTGTCCCATGTCCCACCTGCCAGGGGCCCCACAGCTCGGCCTAAGGGAACGGTGAGAAAGCGCTCCTGAAAAGGATTCAGTGCCACAACAAACACGGGGCTCTGCTAGGGCATCAGATCCCGGAGAGCAGGGGTGTTGCCTGGTGGCTGCCCACTGCGCTCTCCATCCATGGCAGGTGCTAGGCCCATAGTGGCACGAAGCACTGTGCTTCTCATTGCCCGGGGCCGTGGGGGACTGCGATCCCTGACCCATGGCCGGTCCGGCCAGCGCCCTGTGAGTGGAGCTGAAGGGCCCGCTTTTGGGCAGAAGCTTTTGGAGCAGGTGTGTGAGTCACTGCTTCCTTTTCCCTTCGGTGGAATATTCCAGATGGAGAGGCTGTGACTTCCAGCATTCCCAAGTGAGGACAGGGCAGCCAGTCCCCAAAGCTGGGCACTTGAAGCCCAGGCACCGCGGGGCTATTCCGGTGCTTATGGTCTGCTTTCACCCATCCTGACCGATGACCGTGGGGGAGCGCGGCCCATATGAGATGAACACTGTGGAGTCTCCTTGTGTTCACCCTTGGGTCACACAGCCTGGTCCTTGGGAGGCGGGTGTCCCCTGCCATCCAACTCAGAGCCAGCGTGAGATGAGAGGCAAAACCGTCAGTGCCCTCGGCCGCGCTGGCCCCCATGTGCTCCTCCGTGGTGGGTGCTGCTGTCTCTGAGACCACCTGGACGTAACGGCGAGGGCCTGTGCTCACGTCCAACGTGGCCCACAGTGCAGCCCATGGTCCCTTCGTGGCTCCCAATCAACCCACGATGGTCTCCTCAAACTCCGGGCCAGGCTGGCTCAGGCAGGAGGATGCAGAGGGCGGTGGGCCACGCATCTGCCCACGAGCCTTCTTCACCTCATGCTGGCCCTTGACGCTCCTCTAAGACCCGGGGTCTCCCCGGGCACCCACCCATCAGAAAATGCCCAGGGGAGGATGGTCCCCACGGGAGGGTTTTCTTCTGTCAGCAATGTCGGCCCGGCGAGGGGGAAGCCAAGTGCGTGTGGGCCCTGCCAATGGGAGCCCCCCGGGGCAAATGTCGCACATCGTTCCATGAGCTTGGTCCATCCGGATGGCAGGAAGACAGAAGCCGTGGGACAAACCTACTCATCTACCACGGTCCCAGCAACAGGCTCCGCGCCGTGCGCCCCTGCTGGCTTTGCTTCCGCTGAGCACCCGCGTCCACCGTCGTGAATCACATCCAGTTTCCCAGAGCCCTCTCGGCACCGAGCCACGCCCACCACACTCACATTTACACACTTTCCGGGAGGAGCTCATGCAGCAGCACCAAGACGCCGCGGTGAGAAGGGCCTGCCTGCCACGTGCAGCTTGGCCGGGGACGGGCATGCAGGGGCACAGGCCGGGCGTGTGACCAGGCTGAGCACCTGCCTTCCCTGGCGGCCTAGGGCTCTGGTGCAAGCCGCGCAGAGGCACCACGGGACCAGACCCTCTACACCCCACACCCCCAGGCGGAAGCTCGGCATACACAGGGCCGTGGTGTTCACCACATGTGGTGCTCTGCGGGGCCTGCGTGGATCCTGTGTCTGCCCTTAGGATCTGATTGTGTCCCCATCCCAGGTTGCCATCACAGCTCTGAGCGCAGCTCTGGAAGTCACCAAACGTGCTGGGGCCGTGAAAAGCACATCCTGGACAGACTTCCGCGGCCACCCACCCTGAGAACGTTCGTTTCATCTGGTAAGAGCTGAAACCCTCCTGCCTCTTGCTACCCTTCAGATGACATGGCCCCAGCATCGCTTCCCAGAGGTGAACATCTGTGGCCGCCTGATCTAACACGTCACCCTTCCTACCCAGGGTGACCTTCCACCTTGTCACCCCATCCTCACACATCTGTGCAAGTCATTCCTCTGTCCCCTTGCTTCTTGTCTGTCTCCACCCACCGACAGGAGGCTCTCTGTGGGGCCTGGCCGGCCGTTCAACCTCACAGATGCAGTCCCCCGACCCGGCCTGGGTGCCCCGTGCTCTGGGGACACCATGGAAGGACTTGCCACACGGCACACCAGCTAACGGCTGAGCGGGACAGGAGGGACAGTGCTGACAGGAGCCAAGCAGGGAAGCGTGATTTACCAAGGAACAGGCAGCCTCGCGTTGTTGTAACGTTATGGAGCCCTAAGAAACACCATGCTATGTTTTGATGACAACTGGGGGAAGTCTGGAAATGCTCTCCTTTAAGGAATTCCAATGGGAGGTTGTGACACTCATTTCCCCTTAATTATAACAACAACTTTTAAACAGGTGGGTGTTCTTGCAACCAGGATGACCTGTGCAGGTGGCCCTTGTGTGAGGAGAGCTCTCCCTGACAGCCCAGGGCAGCCCTCTGCATCCAGGCAGGAGCCCAGCCGTGAGGCCGTCAAGCAGACTCCGTGGTCTTTCTGCCAGATACAAAGACAAAGTCCCTCCTCCAGCTCCCAAGGTCAGACCATGCCGCTCCGGCCCTGCTCCCTGAGCATGAGTGGGACATGCACCACTGTGACCCTCATGGCCTTTGTGGGAACAGGAATCTGTCCCCACGTGGAGGCCACTGGGCATGAGAGCTGGGAGGCAGCCACGGCCCAGGGGTGCACTCACAGACCCCAGGGCTGGAGCTCCCCACTTACCCCCGGGAGCTGTGTGACCCATGTGAGGGCCTCGGTCTTTCCCTCTGCAGAGTGGGACCAGGACAGCCCCTGCCACACGTAGCCGTGCCAGGAGCACATGTGCTGACACCCACAAGTGCTTACAGCAGGGGCTGCAGGGTGCCTGCCATCACCCGGAGCGCCAGGATGCCAGTGTCCGGCGCAGGGGTCAGACACATGCTGTGCACGCCCCACTGCGGGGCCACTGGCCGCACCCTCCCCTACCCCGTGACACGGGGGGAGGGGCGGGCACTTACCTTTGCTGATGGAGGGGGCGAGTCCGTTCATGAACTGTGGGAAAGGCTTGCCGGACCCGGGGACGTCCAAGGAGGCCCCAGCGCTGCCCCCCAGCAGGTCGATCTTCCCGGCGTGCTGCCGGAGCCGCTCCAGGTCCTGCGACAGCAGGCTGAACTGCTCACTCTGCGTCCGGCATTTCTCCTCCAGCTCCCGCACCTTGCTCTGCACGGCAGAGGCACGGCAGGCAGTCAGGGGTGTGCAGTGGCGGGGGGGGGTCGTGCATGCTGGGGCGTGCCCACAGGGGTGTGACGGGGAGCTGCCTCCTACCTCCACGGGAGAACATCGTCTGATAAAACCAGGCATCCCCTCCCCGGCCGGACGTGGGAAACCGTGCATGCCACGCAGCCCACCAGCACTCAGATCCCAGCCAGCCGCGGACGGTTCTGGGCTGTGTGTGCCGCCCGGGCACTTGTGGCTGGCACGCCTCGCCACAGCCATTTGAGATTCGGAGTATGAGGCGGTGACACAGCCCAGACTTGTGGGGCAGCTCAGCGGCCAACCCGCTGATGCGTTTTTCTCACGGGGACGCCCACGCCTAGCCTGCAGTGCCCCAAGGAACACTGCTCTGGCGATGAAAGGAAGTTCTTTCTGCTGGATTCAGTCAGCAACACGGCTGCCACGTGCAGACAGGCAGAGAAGTCTCCGGAGCCCTGGGGAGGAGGGCTCCCTCGGGCACACGTCAGGGAAGGGGCAGATCCCTCCTGCCTCTGCTCCTGTCCCGTTCCTTCCCCGCTGGCTCTCAGGGTGGGTGACTTCACACGCACGCTCACATCCCCAGACGCTCATGGACCACACTTCCGATCCTGGTGCAGACGCAGGGCTCCGTCTCACCAGGGTGCTGTCTGCAGCGGGGCGCCCAGGCCACGGAGGGTCGCGTGGAGGGTCAGCTCTGTCCCCAGCCCCGCGGCACCCTCTGCTGCTGCTTCCCACCCCACGCACCCTGGTCCATGGGCCCCTAGCTGCTTCTCGTCTGTCTCCAGACGGGATACGAAGCTCCAAGCCTTCACTCTTTCTGCTTCCCGGAGACATCCTCAGTGCTTTTCACAGAATCGGACACATAGTAGGTGCTCAGTAAGCATTTGCCCAATCAGTGGAAAGAGGGAACTGCTGATTGGCAGCGTGGTGCCCTATTTCGTCTGTGTGGAGTCCTGCCTCGTCTCTGGTCCTTACTCTGTGATAAACGGAGAATCCCATCTGCTGCGTCATTAACTCCGTGCGCTGCCTGGGTAGCCCCCGCTCACGGCTCCACGAGGGGAGATCTGTCTGCGTCTTCCCTGCTACGTCCCCAGCACTTGGAACAGGGTTGGGTACCGAGTCAGTGCTCAATAGATCTTTGCTTTAACATGGGTGTGTGTGCAGGAATGCAGGGACAACCGGAACAGCCTTGGCCTGCAGAGGGCCAGCAGCAGACACGCTTCTCCTCCTGCCCTCTTCCTCCTCCTCCCTCCTCCCCATCTTCATCTTCCTCTTCCTCACACCCCCTCCCACTTCCTCCTCTCCCTCCTCTTCCTTTTTCCCACTCTTGGCCCCTCCTCTCCCTCCTGCTCTTTTCCCCCCCTCCTCTTCCCCCCCTTCCTCCCCATCTTTTTCCTCCTCTTCCTTACCTCCTCTCCCTCTCCTCCCCCTCCTCCTTCCTGCCCCTCTCCTTCCGCTCTTCCTCTTCTATTCATCCTCAACCCCCCTCCTCCTCTCCCCCTTCTCTGGCATTAAGCTTTCCAGCTCCTTAGTATAGAAGGAAATGCTATTTATGTCTGTGATCAGGGGTTTCTAAAAATAAACCTAACAAATCCCAAGCCTATAATTAATTTCTTCGATTCATTAAAAAAAAAAATCAGCAGGATTCGTCTTTCAAAAAGCTGAATGAGCTTATCTGCGATCGCTGCTTCCCAAGGCAGAGATGTGAGCTCAGCACTCCTGGGCCCCGGGTGGGGGACCATGCAGGACCCCGCTCCAGTGGGGCCGACACCAGAAAAGGGGAACTCGTCAGATGCCCTGAGGTCTGGGGCCCTGACTCTCCCAAAGCATTTGCTCCGGGGCAGATCCGTGAACCCCGAGGGACGGGCAGAGTCCTCAGATGGGGAGAGCTGGCCCTGCACGTCCCGGGACGATCCAGGTTCAGTGGCTGGTGGGAGAACACGAGCACCGTTTACGTGGCCGTGAACTCATTTCCACATTCGTTAGGAGAAAGGCTGGCAGGTGAAATCCTCGGTACTACGTGTTTGTGAAAATGACCCAATGAAAACCGCCTGTAGAATCTTCACTTCCGTACCACGCTAGAAATGACAAAGCCAGAGTGACAGAGAACAGATCCGTGGTGGTCCGAGCTGGGGCCCCAGGACACTGTGACGTGCAAGGAGCAATGGGACGGGGGACGGGAATCTCCATGTGCACGCAGCCCCGCGGAGCTATATGCTGAAGGAACATAAAAACAGGAGAAATCCAAGTGCAAACAGATTTAACCCGCGATGGTCCATGGGCAGCCGGCCCGCGCAGTGGAAGTCTTGGTGGTGCACGCGGAGTGCGGCCGAGGTCCTCATGGGCCTCCTCTGGGACCTAGCGTTCGAGATGCACCTGTCACCAGCAGCCGGCTGCGGGGGCTGACATGGCCCTCTGGGAGAGCATGGAGCCCCGAGGCGGAGGGGGCGACAGGCATTCCCGGACACACCCTGCAGGGCTCAGACACGCCCTAGGAACAGCGTCACACACAGGCACCTGACAGCAGCTGTCACGGGCCACTAAGAACGGGTGTCCTTGGCATTCACTGCTGGCAGGCGCAGCCCCTGAGCTCTCTGGGAACTGCCCTCGGTGACCCCCTCCTTCCAGGGCTGTTGTCTTGTTCAGGGGTCCCCGTCACTGACAGCGAGCGACTGGGACACGCCATCTCCCCCCGCGGCTTGCCCAGGACGTGATGCTCCAAGGAGTGGTTGGTGACGTGCAGGTGAGGGAGTCCCAGGAACAGGGGGCACATGGCGGACTTCAGAGCCTCGGTGTACCCAGATGTCCAGGGAGGCTGCTGGGGCACGCTGGGCGGGGGAGCTCGGGGGAGCCGGAGGAGCATGCGTGTTCTGTCCGGAGGAGACGTCTGCTCAGCCCTGGTCCAGAACCATGGAGGCAAAACTTCTAGTCTCCCAAAAGGAGCAGGGGGTCTTTATTTTAATGCAAAAATCTCTCGATGTTTAAATGTTGGCACGTGAATCAGAGGCCCATCCACGTCCGGACTGACACGGCTGGTCTGGAGACGGCATGGCTGCTCGGTGACCCCAGGCGTGAAAACCCACAGCAGCTTCCCTGGACGCCTGAGGGGAGCCAGGCAGGCAGTGGCACAGGGGAGGTGTGGTTCGGTGTGGCAGGCAAAGCTCCCCGTGTCGCTCCGGTAGTAACCAGCGGTGGGAGAGGCCTGGCCGCCCCGCTCCTTTGCTCCAGGTTGTGATGAAAGCCAGGATCAAGCGCGTACAGGCGCGGAGCAAGCAGGCCCCTCGGCGTTTGTCTGCAGCTCCGTGACATCCTGCCTGTGCCCAGGGGACCTCCCGCCACCCGAGCCCACGGAAAGTGCCCCCGAGGGAAGCAAGTCCAGCTGACGAGCCTGGTCTGGGAGGTCTCAGGGAACCAGAAACCCTCCGAATCCACGTCCAGACATGGGACCATTCAGAGGCTTGGGGCTTCCGTTCCAGTCTTCTGTCTGCTGTCCCGTTCTGTCCCCTGTCCTCTCAGGAGAGGGATGACACCTGACGCTTAAGCCCGTTCACATATCTTGAAAATCTTTAACGTCACCAACAAATGGCTGTTTCTCGCAGTCGTCGTGCTCAGGAAAAAACTGACACTTCACCATGGTGTCTTCCGCCTGATACTGGCCCCACGAGTGAGCATGGCTGGGACAGCGGTAGAGACATGGGTGGCCGACGTCTTCGGGGCAGCTGCGCTCTAAGGTCTGCACTGCCCACTCCTGGGATGGGCTTCTCCACGGCAACAGCGACTTCCCGGGACACGAGCTCTCCATCCAATAAGACTGTCAACTGTCCATCCAAGACCCCAGAGCTCCAGACCCTGTGGGGGACCCTCCTGTGTGTCCAGGGCTCATGTGCGCACGGTTAGAGGCCATCCCCAGAGACACGAGGCCATCCAGCCTCTGACCCGGTGCCGGCTGGGAATGCCGCCACCCTCCCCCCCGGCGGGTTTTCAGGCCCGGGATCACCGAGCAGCCATGCCGTCTCCAGACGGGCCACGTCAGCCCAGGCGTGGATGGGCCTCAGACGCACTTCGCACCAGTAGGAGGAATGGCTTCCTGGAAAGCAGGAAGGCAGCAGCAACCCCACCAATGTGCCCGGCTGGCTTGTCCCCACATCAGTGTTTATTTCAGGAGCTAGAGCCTGGTCGCCTCCTGGATGGGCGGCCCCCCCGGGTAGCTGGCCACCTGCAGGCGGCAGGAGGACAGGCCACGCAGACCGCGGCGGGAACAGATGGCACAGTCATCAGACAAGCACACTATCCCTGGAAGAAACACGGAGACTGGCCAGCGTGGTCATGGGTATTTATAAAGATGGAGAAAAACACATCCGGAGCACGATGGCTAGCTATCAGGGCCCGCCACTCCGCATTCCACATCCGCCTTCCGGGCCTCGTAGAGGACGGCCACGTGGAGGGCTGGGCCCTGTGTCCAGCCAGGGGCAGGTGAAGGGTACACGGCTGCCCGCTGTGAATCATCAGAACAGCAGGGAGAACCCGGGGTCGTCCCGGGCAGGCTGGGACCCCACGCATGGGAGCATCTGGGAGGAATATTTCGTGTCACGTCCTGACCTTGGGGCTGCTCACAGGGGGCTGTTTGCCTGCTCTGTGCTGGGCGCTGTCAGGGATTCATAACGCATTATCTCTGATGGCCGGGGAGACCATGGGGTCAGGTGGTATGAGCCCACAACACGGGGAGGAAAACAAGGCCAACATGCATGAAAGCCAAGGGTCACACGAAAGCCAGGGGTCACACGCCAAGCAGGGGCCGGACTAACCCAGGCCTCTCTGACTCCAGGTTCCAAGCTGGCTATACATCCTGGGTCCCCCACTCACTCATGCGGACCTGGACGCATGTCCCACAGCCTCCGTGGGCCTCAATGCCTCCACCTAGAACGTGGGGTGAACCATGTCATCTAGAACGCAATAAGGAATTGCAA